CTCCAACCATGATAAATTTCTTAACCATTTAAGAAACGTATTTCAGACTCTGCTGTGACCCTTTATCACCAGACCTAATGGATTACTTTATTAATAATGCACTGCTCTTAAAAGGAATTTTTCCAAAGATTCTACCATAAGAGAGCATTTTCAGAATGGCTATGACAAACAGGCTGACATGTTCACGTTCTATCTATTAAAGATAATGAAATTTAACAATAACTCCAAAGGAGATAAATTATGTTCTGCTGCCAGGGTATCAAGCATACGTTCTACTGTATTAAACCAAAATTAGAGTAAACTAATTTCCATGAACCGGCTTCTTCTTTTGTCCTATTACCGAAGCTGGAAATTGTTCCTACACTGTTTTAACGTTTGTTATGTCAACCAGACAACTATCACATGTCACTGGCAACTGGGAATGAAGGAGGAGGACATCCTGTACATACGCCTACCCAGATCCTTCAGTTATCTAGTCTGAGCAAACACTAGGAACTGTTTGATTGCCCCGCAAGAATATTCCTATACAAAGTCATTTGCTCCTATTAGGCCTGCTAACTCCCTTCGCCCCTCTTCTTCCCATAGGATGAGTTTGCATTAAATAGAGATCTAGGTTATTGGTGCCCCAACTACAGTACCTTCCATTTCTTGAAAAGGCTTAGGCAATTACTTTACTACCTTGTGGTTCTCTCATACTTCTGTATTTGCCATTTCTAGGGGCAGGAGGCACCTCTAGGAAGACTACTTCTATCTCCACACTTTGGAGGAACAGTCCAAATGGGTTTTTTTGGTGGTTTTTTGGCCTTTTCTGGCAAAACTGAGTCTCATGGTTTATTCTGCTACAACATGTGCTCTGGTCTTATTCAAATTCCTGCTTTTACAAACTTCTGTCTCTTCTTCATAAATATATTAATCCACTGCTGTACATTTGAGCTGCAAAAGGACACTGTGTCATGAACTAAAGCCAGACCAAACCTCTGAAATTACACCAAGACCACGTGTGTCAAGATCAAGCCCTCAAAAAACCAACAGGTAACCCAGCTAAATAGGTAAATACAGGGTCTTTGGTGACCTGAATCAAACATTCTTTGAATAAAGTAATGTCTGGGAAGATGTGTAGTGGTTCTTTATAACAGGAAGCTAGACAATGGTGGACCGTGGAGAAGGTCCAAGGTAGAGGGGCACAGGAGATAAAAAGGAAAAAAAAGGCAGCTTCAGGAATATTAGACAACAGAAGAATTAAATTCCATGTCATGTGATGAAAAAGCAACCCTGCCATTTCCCCTCCTCTCTCTTTGCGTGATTCCTCAATAGGTATACCTGAGAAAAGTATGTTAAAAAGAAAACAAAAGATACCAGCAGCACATGGAACAGCTCTTCTTCCTTTATGGCACTATTTATATTAGCTTGTGTACAACCTGTGCATGCCTTATGTTTGTGCGTATAATGACTTTTATGAACAGAAAAGGATTGTCAGGACCTATTCTTGCTGGATACGGGAGAGATCCACCTCCATCTACCTATCTATAGGTGCCTCCATATGGCAGCTGGCATACTCATTTGTTACGCCAACCCACAGCTCGGCTGTCCTGGCTAGGGCGCTGTGGCACCATTCCTGTAACCACCATTATACAACCAATTTCACTGCTTTGCTAATTCCAAATGCTGCTTTTCTTTCCTTCTGTGCAGGGAAAGATGGGCTCTTACACAACAGGGAACCCAACTGCTGCTACTAATCCAGTTTCAAATTACCTAATATTCATTGCCCTAAATACCTCCCATCAACCTAAGACCCATTCTCCAACCCCAATGCACATAACCACTGAGTATCTGTATTTTCCTCTTCATTTTTAAGGGAACCATGGAAATTTTTTTAAAATAAAACCAAGGTTTGTGTACCACTACACAAGGGGAGTCCTCCAACATTTTATTTACTTAGTCTACTCTTGCGATCTATTTAATCAGAGATCTGCTTGAAAACACAAAGGATCCGTGATCTGGGGTGCTACCGTGTATGCAAACACCAGGATGAACACACAGCTCATCAGTGTTTTCACAAGTGTACACACACTCAATAATTTGGTTGAAGGATACTATGTCTAGTTAACATAGTAAAGTTAACTAAAAGGAAACTTTCACACACACACACACCCCCCATAACAAAGAACCATGATTTCTATTACTGCATTTCATACCATACATGCTGATTACCAGGCTGTGCTTCATTGTTAGCAGAGATTACAGCTGGGATAAGCTGCAGCTTTTTCCTAATTGCTATTATGATGACTGAATTTTTGTTTTGTGTCAAGCATTATTCACACATTATACTCCAAAATTTGATCCCTCCATGATGTATTATTGATTCCACGCAGGCAATCATACTGCCGCCGATGTGAAGAATTAATTTGGGCTATTCTACTCGATTTGCATTGCTCCATCATAGCAGAACATGGTTCTATAGGGAAACGCAAATTGAAAAGGAAGACTTAACAAAATATGGAAAATGCTGCTGTTCTTTAAAGAGATGAGTCTTAAAGAGGGGGAAAAAACAAAAAAAAAGCCCAAACCCAGCACAACACGTGTGGTCCAGAAAGAAATAAGGTCAGTCAGCCCAATTCATCTTAGTCAGAGGAAGGTTACAAGAGTAGCCTTATGCCTCTAATAAAGTAAACTAGCTTGCTTCAACTTATATTGCCAAAGAAAACAACTGAACACCTCTGAGAGCGACACTGCTTCAAAGCCTTTGAAACCCTGTTAGCTTCATTTGTTTTCCCAGCATAAGCAATACTCAACCACTTAGCGTGTCTTTTATCCACAGTCCAGTCAACTGCAAAGCTGATCTAGAAGATGTGTACCAGATGCTTCACATCTACTTTTTTTTTTTTCCTAAAGTTCTACTGTGTTAACAAAGAAACTTATAAGATCTCAACAGAAATAAAGCCCAGGATTTTTTTTTTTTTCTCTGAATAAGATTATTTCACAGTTTTTAGATGCCAACTTAATTAGCACAGAATAAATTCAGAAAGGCAGGACAACTTATTCATGGGCACAGACTCCATATTGGTCAACTCTTAGTCCAAATTTGATCAAATCTGCATATAAGAGGGCACTGATAATGACGCATTTCTGCTTGGTCTCATATTTTAAAGGTGTAAAACCTTTGTGAAAAGTCCGTTCACATTGTCCCAAGCGCTTCACATCAGAATGAAACAAAACCTCACATCCCATCCCAGAAACGAGATTCAAATTCTGCACACATGAATACACCAGACTGATAATTTTAGAAATCACACTTATAACGTTTTGAGGTCTTTATCGCATTATATGTAAAATGTTGGGCAGTATCCCCCCTCTCACCCTTTTTTGGAAGGTAAGAAGGAGAGAGAGAGAGAGAGAAGAGAAGCTTCAGTAGAAGACCTTTGGTTAAAAGTGAGCATCCATCCATTATTTTCAATAGTCAAGCCCTCTTTCCTAATTATTCTCCAGTATAGTATTAATTCAGTTTTAAAATACCAGAAGACAGATACGGGTCAGGGAACAAAAATCATACCACTCCAACTTGTTAGCATTGGGTAGCTCCCAGTACTATTCACAATACATGATTAGCACCAATCTAACACAGGAAAGCAAGTGACTTTGAATTACAAGTTATTTTTCTCATAAATATTTTAAAAAGCAATACATACATTCAAGTAAAATCAATGCTACTGCCAAAATGCTCAACTTCCAATTTCTCCAAGTTCTTTGGCACCCTGTGAAAAGCTGTTTCCTGTCTTTTACAGTCTTGCAAATGTTCAGTAATTTCTTCTACTTCCAAATGACAACTGCCTTTTTTTAAAGAAAAACACTTAAAAGACATTTCTGAAAAGCAAATTAAAAGATCAGGGAGTCCAGAAACACACCCACTACACGGCACACTTCATCCCTTTATAAAGGTGAAATGAAACAATGAGATAATAGCTACAAATGCGCATTAAAAGTTAAGATGTAGCTCTCGCTTTCAATACATAAAGTGCCGCCAAGGTGGAGGTCTTTGGCAAGAGGCAGCACCATCAATGGACGTTCACCTGGATGGCTACAGAGGTGTTCTGCGCTGCCTCAGTTTTAATTTTTGCTTTCAGTGTACAAGCCATGAGGGAAGACCTAAGCCACAATGCAGCCTTAGAAAAACCTCATTAAAAAGTTGTGATTAGACTTACCACATTCGTCCTAGAAACTACTGGCGACTGAGAAGTTAAGTTGCACGCCCTGGTAGGCAATGTGCAAAAGAAGGCATCAGGTCATTCAAACTACTAGTTAACACTGTCATTACTCTTTACATCATTTTGTACCCCTTAGTCATCCTTGACAAAGACTAGTCAGCTTTAACAAAATAAGTATACAAAGTCCTAAAATAAGTCAAGCTCTCCTTCAGCTTCATTCATTAAATTACCTCCCAAATGAACCTCCACTTCTGCCATTTAGAGAAGGGAGTAAATTCTTCGAATAAGCCAATGCTTTTTTTCCCAGAGCAGCTTATTAGCTTATTGTCATTATGTTTATAGCTATGAAGAAAAGCTGCGAGAAATAGATATTAAAGGCGCACATTAAAGAGACCCAAATGACATGCAATGGAAAGGAATGAAAATCTCAAAATTAGATTTACAATAAAAGCTGTTAAAATAAACAGGCTAAAATGGATATAGTAGGATAACTTGTAGAAAGAAAAATCTAAATAGATATAAAAAACTAAATAAAATCAAACTGTTTCTGCTATGTCCTTCAGCAAATAGAGCTTGGGGTAAACCCTCCTTGACTCGTTCAATCATGCCAGAGAAGGGATTAAAAAAAATAATAATAAAAAGCAAGCATGCTTTTACCAACACAAGAGAAAAAATACCAGAAGCTGAAAGCAGAGCACTCTGATATGCACAGTGTGCATGTTTCAAAACTATTTATTGCTATGTTAGCAGCACACAGAAGACACCAAGCACAGGCTTACACAATCTCAGCCCACCTACCGTCCTCCTTGTCCAGCACCATCATCTCCGCAGTCAAGAAAAGTCCAGGGACAGATGCTTCTTCTCCAGCAGCCTCCGCTCAGGGGAGAAGAGAACAAGTCTCTGGGAACACAAATGAGCTACGGTACAGCTGATCGTCCTTTAGCAGCAAGTGAGCTCTAATTACCCAGTTGTCCAGCTTTTAACCTAGATTGCACTCAGTTAGAATTACACTCAGAAATAAAAGCACTTTGCAGATACAAAAGCAGTCTCACCTACTTCTGTGCCTCAGAATTGGAAGGAACTAAAACTGCAATTTAGAAAGAAGGGGGATCAGAGCGGTTTCCTTGGTTCTCACCTTCTAAATGGCTCAATTTACACAGTATAATCTATTTTAATGTAATTGCATTTGATAGCTCATAACCCTGGCTGTTGCAACTACACAGCTTTCAACCTTATAAAGTGTTTTCCCTTTGGATTTAAGCTGAATCTAAAGCTAAAATTATATTCAGAGAGGGTAGAACACCTAAGCCTGACTACTGCTGCCTCTGTCTCTCAAATTGCGAGCTTTGCACACTTGCTATTGAATAAATGCACATATTTCCCAGGGACCCCGCTCGCTCTCCTGCCAGGGTTTCC